TTTAATCGAAGAGAAGTTCAGAATCATAAGCAAAAAGATACATGTTCAATTTGCAGACTCATAATGAGTCTGAGAGTTCAGGGTCCCAAAGTGGAGCCTTAAATCGAACACAAAAATCAAAATCGTCAAAAGAAACCCCCCAGATCCTAGGGTTTCAAAATTGAATCAGACATGGAAGTGAGAAAGCAAGTTATTTGTTTTAGAGTCTCAACAAAACAGATATGATAGCATGTTTGAATGACAAAGGAAGAAAAATCATGAAGAACATATTTGAGAAAACTCGGAAGCTAAACAAGTTCAGAAGAAGGAGATAATACAAACGTGAACACAAGTAGATGAAGCATGTAAGAACATGAACAGAGTCCAGTAAACAAGATCAAATAACTTAACGATAAACACACATAGTAAAAGAGTAAAGAAAACTAAGCAGGGATTAAATGCATAGTAGAAAAGAAAAGGTAGAAGACAATACAAGCGTAATAAAGAGTAATCACACCAACAGGGTATGGACAAACACACATAAAGTAAAGAAGAAGAAAAATCAGAAAGATTTTTCCCCAAAAAATCCTTTCAGAAACACTAAAATCGAAGAGAAACGATTTTGAAAAGAAGCTTTTGGGGAAAACACTTTAGATGGCAAGAAAAGCATGTATACAGTATAGATCTAAGCAAATAATGGTGAAAGGACCTTGAATAGCTTAGGGTTTCGGAGAAACCCTAGAAATGAGAAAGGCTTGGAAACATGTCTGATCTTGAGTCGGAGAGGTCAAGAATCAGGCTCCTGAGTCTTGAATATGCCGGAGCATGGTCGGAGGAACCATGAAATCAAAGGTCTAAGAAGATCGGAGAGGGAATCGTCGAGGTCAGGCCTCGAAGCTTCGAACAACCCTGGCTTACTGGTGAAGATAGGTGAGTACCAACTATTCATGGCCTGAGAAGCCATGGATTCCGGTGACCGGTGGTTGAAAAGGGGGTAGGAGGAGGCTAGGGTTTCGGAGAGTTTTTGAGAGAATTTGAGAGGGTTTGGGATTCAAAGGCGGCGGGTCAGGTGAGAATGAGGGATTAGGGTAGTCACCTGTGTTTAATTATGGTAGGGCGAATAGTGGTCGTTGATCCGAATGATCAACGGCCTAGATTTAAGAAGGTAGATGGGGAACCGAGTTGGGTCGTTTGAATTGGGTTAGGGGTTGGGTCAAAAGGAATTGGGCTGGTCCGAATTTGAGTTTGAAATTGGGTCAATTTTAGGCTAAAATCGAAATGTAATGGGGCTACAATTGAAACGAACTGAGGCCAAAATTCAAATAGCCAGTTTTCCCTTTTTATTTTATAAAAATAGTAAAAAATAATTTTGAAAGCAAATTAAAAGCACTGGATCCGTTAATAGTATATAAATATTAATTTAAAAATATTGGAACCAGTTTCATAATTATAAAATGCTATTAAATCTTAAAGCAGGCTAAAATTGCAATTATATGCAATTTAGCTTTTAAAATACCAAATTAATTTGTAAAAATATATGAAAAGTAACCTACATATATTTTGGTATAAATATGAGAATAAAATAAGTTATTCACCAAAGTGATAATTTTGGAATAATTATTGAGCAATAAATCAATTTAAAAATCTTTTAAAAAATTGGAAAAATACTATAACACTTGGGCATACTTATATATGTATGTATATGATATTTGAAAGTATTTGCATGTAAAAGAAATACATAGGGAAAAATTGGGTATCAACATACATACATCAGTAAGTTGTATTATACGAAGGGAGAGAGGAAGCGATAGAGGAGAGAAAGAAGGAAAGAGTGTAACTAAATACCTTGATTGAAGCCACAAATAATGAATTGGGAGCCTTTTAAGGTGGATTGCATATATTTGGTAAATAAAACTTGTTTATGCTAGGTAATTAGCTAAATATGGACATTAAGGATAATAAAATTTCAAATGATGTATAGCTATCCAAAAAAAAGGGCGTATAACTTCTAACCCAACTCCTTTCAGTCCAGCCCATCTGTATCTTTCAAGGGTTGGGCTTTTCAACCGAAGTTCAGTCGGTAAATCTTCTTTGTTCGGTCCATTATCGACTACCGGCGAAACGAAGCTTGTGAACTGCAAAAGGAAGGTTACGATAATCAACGTCTCCGGGATGAGTGCAGGTGAATTTACTTTTCTGTGTCCTTTCTTTAGCGGTTTATGCTCGCAATTTTATAAATATAAGTCACGATAGAAGATTCTTTAACTTAAAATAAATCATAAAGAAGCATAGTTTTTTTTTTTCCTTTAGATAACTTAGATTATGGTTCTGTTTATGTAACTTTTTAAGGTTAAAATATGAAGAAACAGATACAGATGATTTATTAACTGATAGATTAGTCTGGAGGAAGTTGATTATAGATATTCAGTGTTTACTTGATTTGAAATGGAATAATTGTATATAGGGCCGCACAGGAACTGCTATTTTAACTTTGTGATTTTACTTTGTACACTTTAAAACTCATACTTTGACCTCATGACACAATTTGATTAAGGTACAATGTGTAGGCAAATGATCAACCATCTATTAGATGATCACCAAACTTTTACCATAAAGGTTAACTTTAGTCTCCCTCCCATGCCATTAGAATATAGCCTGGCACTTGATAATTAATGGGTTGAGTTCGTGGTTATCAGCATTGCGTGTTTTTATTTGCACTTCTCTGATCTTAACCATAGATATGCAATTTATAATTGTTTCCGCGCTTAGTGTTTGTTTTGATGTAATTGGAGGATCTTTGTACTTTGTGATAGAGTGAATGGCTTTACTCTCACATGTTATTTTCAGAATCGCGGTGCACTAAGCTTCCGCTATGCGCAGCCTTAACTTGCATTTCTGCAAGAGGTTGTTTCCAGAAATGCAAGAGGTTATTTCCACGGCTCGAACCCGTGACCTCCTTGTCACATGACAGCAACTTTACCAATTACGCACGCAATGGCTCCCCTTCGCTATTTACAGAATCATGAAAATTAAATTATCTTTGATAAAACGAACAGTTAATTTGCTTTCGTCCTTTTTCTGCCTCCTCCCTCTAAATTATCTTCTCTTTTTCTCGGTTACCTATTTCCATTTCTTGTTATACTATGCTTCTTTGTTTGAAGGGGGAGCATTTGGTGGAAATAGAGGACTGAGACCAGTGCCGCCTGAAAAAGGAGTTTTTCCATTGGACCATATGCATTTATGTGACCTGGTATAATCCTTTCACAGATCTCATAGTTTGTTGGTTTCGGTGTTTCCTTTTTCTCCCTTTCTTCTTTTAAGATAAAACTATAACGGATGGTTGTTGATGGAGCATATTTATCCTTTGTGAGGTTCATTCTTTCGTCTTACTTACTTCGTTTTGGTCTATTTTAGGAGAAGAAAGAGTACCTCAATTGTCTTAAATCCTCTGGGCATAAATCTGACAACTGTCGACACCTCTCTAAGAAGTACCTGGAGTGCCGTATGGAGAAGTAAGTCCGTTGGTATGATTTGGACAACGCTTTCACTGATTAATATATAGCATGTAAACTTTATTTAAGATGTAGCTTCCTACAGTCGACAAAGTACTCATATCCCCGATCCATACGGGTCCCTCATCCCTTTTTAAAAAAAAGTACTCATCTTCTTGCCACTGCAGTGTTGAGCGGTTACTTTCTTCATGAATTCATACAACTTCTTAGAATGAGAGTTCTGGACAAGGCTCGTCTGTTATTACTTTTAGGCATAAATCTTAATTGATGTCATTCTCTACATTTCAATATGTTCAAAATTGTAAAGAATATGCCTATAAGCTTCTTCGTTTCCTCTTTTTTTGTTTCTTTCTTTTCTATGGGCACTGAAATTAAAAGTTACCTAATATTGTCGAGCATGATCAATTACCAATGTTGATTTGATCTCTTCAATTGATTAGTATTATTAAGCCTCTTGTCCTTATCCCAAAAAAAAATGATTATGCCCCTTGTGGAGGATGATGACAGATTACTTGAAATCAGGTCACATCTTTCTATCAAGTGTTACCTATTTGATAGCATCAAGAACAAGGATATAGTTAAGGACAATGATAGAGATGATAGAGTTTTGGAAGCTCTAAGGCCATTTACAAGATCTCAAGCTAAAGAGTTGCAAGCTAAGGTTGCTAGACTTCAATGGCAAATAAAGAAGCTTTTAATTGTAGAGGAAGAGCTCAAGCCCAAAGGAGATGAATTGTCCAAGTTTTACAACTATTTGGTAGTCCAAATTGAAGTCCAAGAGGAGGAAAACTGGGTTACCAAATCAGCCCTTGAAGTCCACCAATAGAGCTCAAAATGACCTTAAAAGAGGTCCAAAAGGGGGTATTTCAAAAGGAGCCCAATTGGAGTCC